CCCCCACACTTAGTTCTTTACTCGTCCTCGAGTAAAGTCAAAAGTTTCAAACAGGCCCGTTGTTTCCTATCGCCTCCATAGCTCCTGTCGCCCATGTGAGTATCGCCACCGTCATCCCCGCCATCAAAACCTCCACCCCCGGAGCTAGATCCTCCAAAATTACCCCATTGAGTGGGGTCATACCAAGGGAGGGTGGGGGTGGGTGAGCCATGGTATGGAATTGGCCTTGATGGGCCATGTAAGAGTACATAGGTCCATAGAACCTACGTTGATCTTCTTCATACCTTCGGTTGTCTTCGGCCCGTTGTTCCTCTAGTCTTTGGAATCCCGCTCTTTGTTCCTCCCGATATTTTCCAACTTCATTGGTGACTTTGTTGAACCCTTCAAGGAGTTGTTGGAAGTAATCGGGTGGTGGGAAAGCTTGGTTCTGTTTGGGCATGTGGTGAAGTGCATCCTCGGGTTCGTTTTGCTCGGGTTGAGGTTCTTGGTTGGGTTGATCTTCGGGGGGGTCTTGGGCTTGAGGTTCTTGGAGATGTGGTGGGAGGGCATGTGGGAATAGGAAATGGGGCACGTCGAACTCTGGTCTGTAGATGATTTTGGGGGTGTCAGGGTTCGGCAAAAGGAAGTATTGGACCGGTTGGACGTGTATGATCCAGTTGTACATGTGTTTCGGTCGGTCTCCAGTATACACCGTATGAGAAAAGGAGGTGCATCCCGAGCGGCCTAACCAACCTATGTCCATCAAACAATAGTCGGGTATAGGAGAGTTATCCGTATACCCGAACTTACCGGCCAAGTGCATAATCACCCCTCCCAAAACAATGGCTCCTTTGGCTACGCTTTCTTTTTTTAGATGTGCCCACATGAGATTGCACAGATTAAAGTCGGCGTGACGACGGAATAGGGCCACGGACATCAAACAAACGTCCCCGATTCTAGTGTGATGGTTGTTGGGACGGCCAAGCAAGCAATTGGCTAAGAATTTCAAGAACAACCGGAGGACGGGGTGTTGGACATGACTAATGTACATTTGGGAGGAATTAAAGTTCACTTCCCCAGTCATCTTTGTCCATAGGGAGTGCCCAAAAATGGTGGTATCCGAGATGGCTCTCTCATAGGGCACGGGGATGCCAAAATGTTCAGCAAACTCGAGTTTCGTTATTGAGTAGTTTCGGTTAAACAGACGAAACTCGAGTCTATCATCCTTAAAATCCGCCTCATCACTTTCAAACTTTACCAAACTCATGAATTCGTAGATAATTCGTTCATTAGAATTGTATTTCATATTGAAAATACGGTCCATATCTAATGCATGAAAGAATTTTCTACAACTCTTATAGACTCCTAATTCACGTAGAGCATCATGGCATAGAAAATGGGAAAGTTTCACTTGCCTTTTTGTTGTTGATAGGAGTCTAGTTCGGTGTTCGGCGTCGGCGGGAGTGATGTCTTCAAAGCCCGGGATGGGTGCTATGGTGTTTGAGCTCTCTCCCCTATTTTTCCTTGGTGCCATTGTTGATGAATTTGAGCTTGAAATCCAAAAATTCAAATGGGGGTAGGTTTTTTTTGGATTTGTTGGATATTTGGGGAAAAGGGGATTTTTGGGTATAGATATGGAGAGGAGAGTGAGGGGAGTATTTTGGTGGTGGAATGGGTTGATTTGGTGAAGTATTGAGTGAGATATGGTAGAGAGAAGGTTGAAAAATGGAGTTTGGGGGGGTTGGTTCGAAGTGGGGATGAGATATTTGGAGAAGATGAAGTGTTTTTGGGTGTTGTTTGGGTATTAATCGCAGTGGTACCCGATCGAGTATCCCTGTATACCCGATCGGGTACCGGAGAACGCCATATACCGACTTGATAGTAGCATTTAATCTTTTAACTCCTTGATGAAATCAATTGAGATTGATAACCTTAACACAACGGTTTCGGTTTAACCAACAAAATTAATCCCTCTTAAGTTTATTAACCACGACCGTGCATTAATAAACCGAAGTTACTTACTTGTGAAACTGTCAACGATTAACCATCGGTTCGTTGATCATTTCTAATAGTAATTAATATATGAAACAAAACTAGTTGATCCTTTAAGTAATGTTCAAAATATTAATATGAAATATGAATAGGAATTAATTAATACTCAAGGAAGAATATTAAAGGAAATGAATCCTACTATAGTTAAATATCAAGATGTTAACTAATTGTCATCTTAGTAACACTCCCCGATATTAACATAGAGGAAGGAATAGCTATTACTAAAACCAATGTCAGGATGTTAACTAATTGTCATCTTAGTAACACTCCCCAACATTGATATAGAAATAGTATTTAAAGGAAGAATTAATATTCAAGGAAAAGAAGTTAAGAAAATAACTCACAACTTTAATAATCAACAAGCTTCAAGAGCAATACCAAGAAATGGAAGTTTAGCTCCTCATTTGGAGACTAAACATGCTAAAAGAAATATAGAGAAATGCTATTCTAAACTGAGCTTAAGAGTATATAGGAATTGATTTTCTATTGTGAAGGAAAGGGGGTGTATTTATAGGCTTTTTTGAGGTGCAGGTCGGGTACTCGATCGAGTATATGTATATACTCAGAATTCGACCCATACTCGATCGGTTTTAGAGTAAATTTTATAACTATACCCGATCGAGTATGTCGGTGTACCCGATCGGGTATAGACACTCGATCGTGGGTAAAATTTCCCTGCATGTTCCTTTGCTTTCGGATCCGATTTGATTTGAAGTTTCAACAAGATACCCGATCGAGTATAGGTGATACTCGACCGGGTATAGACATAAAATTCAGGATCTCTTCTTTGTCTTGTGATTTTGCACCTTCCTTCCACTTTTGGGGTTCACCAACTGTCCTTTGAGTGATGGTATACCTGTTTGAGCTCAGAATAAACCTAATCTAAACAATTTACAAGAATTTAACAAACTAAACTATTACATCGAAAGTGTGTAATTTCCGAAATATTAAACAACCAAAACTAACTAAAAACGTAAATAAACACACGGAAATTACAAACGTATCAATATCACTAATATTGTTACTACAAAACTTGCTGCCGTAGAGGATTACTTGACTTGGCGTACTCAATTTGAGTCGTTCTTGGTGTCTAATGGTTTCTTGGGAATTTTAGATGGTTCTATTCCTGCTCCCTCTCAATATATTTTTGATGTTTATCGTCACGAGACCATTAATCCTGATTATTCTAATTGGCTAAAACTGGATCAAACTGTACGTTCCTGGTTGTTTGCTACTTTATCTCGTGATGTGTTGATTGAAGTTCATGAACTGAAAAATGCTTTTGCTATCTGGAATCGCTTGGAGTCTCACTTTATGTCTGCTAGTCTTGTTCGTTCCATGGAACTGAACCGTCAACTTACACACTCTAAGAAGCGTTCAAATTAGTCCATGGAACATTATCTTCGGGATATTAAAGACATTGCCGATCGTCTTGCTGATATTAATGCTCCCGTGTCTTGTAGAGAATAATTTCAGTATATTTTGCTTGGTCTTGGTCGAGATTATGAGTCTCTTATCACGTCAGTGGACCTTTTTCCGGATAGCTTTACTTTTGAAAATCTTCGAACTAAATTGGTTGAAAAAGAACAAAGTTTGCAGTATATGAATGCTCAGGAGGAGTTAAATCCTGCCCAGGCCTTTGCGGGGCAGGTGCAACCCGGGGGACAACCTCCTCATGGCGGCGCACAGCCGCAGCAGGGCGGTCAGCAGCAGCCCGCCGGTGGTCAGCAGCATCCGGGTGGAGGACAGGCTCCTCGTGGCCGCGGAAATCGCGGCGGTCGTGGTGGCCACGGTTAGCGTGGTCGCGGAGGTCGTGGTCAATGCGGATGTGGTGGTCATGGTTACAGTTTTCCTCCACAGTTTGGCTATGGTTATCCTCCACCGGGCTATTTTCCAGGGGGTGCACCGCATGCTGGCATCCTTGGGGCTCCAGGCTCAGCGGGTATGTCTGTTCAGTCAAATTTTTATACTTATGCCTTATCTACTTTTTCTACCAACCATGGCTATGCAGACTCCTCTTCAGCTGAGGAAAATTCAGTTCCTCCTCTGGTTATTTGTCAAATTTGCTATGCCCCGGGTCATTCTGCTTCCACTTGTCCCTCTCGCTTCATTCTGCTTCCAGGTCAAATTTGCTGCGCCCGCTCTTGCTGCTCAGGCCCCTGATGCTTCTGAGATGGTTTTCACACTTTTGTGTTGGAAATGCTCCACATTTTTTTCCACCGTGAGATGCTCCACACTTTTGTTAATTGATTAATTAATTACGAAACTTTAACAATCCAAAATTTGAAAGATAGACGAATTATCAATTCGGTATCTGAAAGATGAAATGTATATGTATAAGATCCAAATGATAGAAAACTATCAATACATGACCTAAGTTGTCATAAATTTTTACTACCTCCTTCACGTCATAAGGTTTTCATGACAAAACAACACAATTATTTAGACAATAGTTAAATAAAGTAATTCAAGTATATTTTGGGACATAATTTTAATAGGTATGTAATATATTGGTGTTAGTATTGATAACTGCGACGTTATATATGTATTATTTGTAATATTTATCGATTAAATTGTTACTTAAGATTGTAAATTATTTCCTGAAATAAAAAAAAAAGAATCTTTATATGCGACGTCCAAAAATGAAAGTAAGAACATTTCTATAGGACAAAGAGAATATGATTTTTTTATGTTAAAATTTTTAAATGTTATTTAAATTTATTAAATCAATAAACTTTTGTGAAGAAAAATTCATGAAATATTAGCAACGAAATTAGTAAAAAATAAATAAATCGAAACTTATGAAATGTTAGACCATTATTTTTCAAAACTCGAGTTCTATAGCGATACATTTCACGTTTTAAGTTCCGAAGTGATAATTTGTTTATCTTTTCACACCCTGAATTGATAATTAATTAATTACTCATTTTGTTCATAAGTAGAACTTTCACCGCGTGTAGGAATTGTTTCAGCATTCATTAGTGACAGGTCAAAGCCAATTACATCGAGACACGAAACCAATAGTTCCACGTGCTTCGCCTCCCTTACTCGGTAAAAAACGAAATTGGGTGCAGGGATGACATAAACTGATAAACCCCGTAATTAATTAGCCCTCCTCGCGTTTACCTCAGCATGCTAAATTAATTTTGAGGATCATCAATTGCAATAAAAGGTAAATAAAAGAAAGTTACCGAAATTGATCACGAATCAATAGCTTACTAAATGAAGCTGGTAAAAATGAGATTAAACATTCTCACCGGCGTTATAAGTAGCGTGCATTGCATTCCTCACCCACCCGAAACGGTCTATCATCTAATAATAATATCCTTTCACCCTATCTTTCTTCTACAGTTTGCTCAGACAAAAAACATCACCAGCTGAACATGGCGAAGAAAAGGGTTCTCTGCGCCATTCTGGCGATTTTATCGGCCCTTCTGGCCGTTTCCGCCGCGGAGGGGGACGAAAAGGAGTACGTTTTGACTCTGGATCGCTCAAACTTCTCCGAGACCATCTCCAAGCACAACTTTATCGTCGTCGAATTCTATGCACCTTGGTATGTAGGGGGCTATACGCCACAGCCAGATATCCGCTGCTAAAGATGTGCATTTTCAATTTTGTGTTTACCCTGTCTTCGTTTTTATTTACCCGCATGTTGATTTCAAATTTAGATTGCTTTATTGATTTCAACTTACGGATATTGAATTTCTTTTATATAGTTCTTGCTGCTGGTGTCATTTTACCAAAGTTGACTTACTATGACCCGTGTCAATTAATTTTAATAGCTGGTTCCATTGCAACCCTAGACAGTTCGTTTTAGAGTGAAGTTGTTGTTATGTACGGAGTGTTTAGTTTGGGGAGTGACTTTGCTGTTTTTATCTAAAAATCAAATCTTGCATATTTGTGTGAATGCCTTGACGTTTGTACTCCATCGGATTGAGAGGTCCTGAATCCTTAGTTGGTCGTCTTATTTTTCCCAGTTAAAAATCCAATTTTTAAATCCAGATCTATATCTTTTTATATTTATTTTTTTATTAAACTATATTGTTGGTTTTACAATTGCTATGTGAGGTAAATCCATACGGTAATGTATGGATGTTATTGAATTTAGGTTTTGACAGTAGTTTCACCCCGTCTCTGAACTTTGAAGGGCTATTCTAAGTGATAAGGAGTATAATTTTCTTAGTATACATAAAAGTCTATGGCTACCATGAACGTAGGCTCTGCAGCCAGTCCACCAGTTCTGAACTGGGGGGTGGTATCACTTATCAGTTATCAGTAATGCACTAAAAGTTGGAAGCAGGTGGATGAATGCTTTAAATATTTTTCCCGTTTTCTATTATACAAAAAAACACCTTTTTTACCAAACGCGACTTACTTTTACTTTTTCAAAATCATTTTTTTCAAACACTTCCAACTTTTACTATTAAGCACTTACTTTAAAAATCACTTAAAACACTTTTTTAAAGTAGAAATAATCGCAAACACTCCCTATGTATAGGAACAGATACTAGGGGATGTTGTTCTATCTAGCACAACAGCTTCTGCTATTTGAGGAGCAATGTTTGGGACCCCCTACCATTCATTCAATGCATACAGCTCACGATCACCATGATCTCAGCCCTCTGTGTGAAGAGTATACACCTTCTTTCGTGAGGCGTATTTCAACTTTAAACTGCATGGTTATGCTGTACTCTTGTTGAACTGTTTTAATTTATTTATTTTGATTCATTTTTGTGAGCAAACTATGGTTACCCCTATTGAAAGATCTAATATGTTATAGTGTTCTAACAGGTGCGGGCATTGCCAGAGACTTGCCCCAGAGGTAACCGTTATGTCATCTGAAGTGTTATAAGTGGGACATAGTCAGTGCACATATCATTTCTTAGCATGTTAGTATTTCATGTGTAAAGATTTAATCTTTAGTCAATTTTTCTTTGCAGTATGAGAAAGCTGCATCTTTGTTGAGTAGTCATGACCCTCCTGTGACTCTTGCAAAAGTTGATGCCAATGAGGAATCAAACAAAGAACTGGCAAGCCAGTATCAGGTCAAGGGTTTCCCAACGATTAAGATCTTACGTGATGGAGGAAACCTTGTTGAAGACTATAAAGGTCCTCGAGAAGCTGATGGTATAGTTAAATACTTGAAAAAGCAAGTGGGTCCTGCATCAGCTGAAATCAAGTCGAAGGAAGATGCAGCAAGTTTAATTGATGAGAAAAAAGTTTTTGTTGTATGTCTGATGCATTTGTCAATGTCATGGATTTCAGTGATATCAACTTTTTTCTCAATCACTCTGTATTAATCTTCTTCCTTGTTTGAATCCACTTTTTTTCTTCTCAGGCTGGCGTGTTTCAAGAGTTTTCGGGAGATGAATTTGAAAAGTTCATCACTTTAGCTGAAAGTTTAAGGTCTGATTATGAATTCGGTCACACACTTGATGCCAAACTTCTTCCTCGCGGTGAAGCAGTTGAGAAGCCCACTCTTCGTGTACTCAAACCATTTGATGAGCTGTTTACTGATTTTCAGGTATCAATTCCCTCATTATAGATAAGTTTCTCATTTTGGCAGAAATGCTTTTTTCCTTTTGAATTAGAAACTTTTGTCTTTGGCAGGACTTCCAAGTGGATGCGATGAAGAAGTTCATTGCTGAAGCTAGTACTCCTACTGTTACTATTTTTGATGACAACAGAGAAAATCATCCATATGTTAACAAGTTTTTCGATAGTCCTAATGACAAGGTACGCCAGATTTGTTTTTGTTTTGCCAATTTTGCTATTTAATGCCTACTTTCCTTGTTTTCATTTTGCTCATATGATTGTTTTCTCAGTTGCTTTACACGTGCTACTATTATATCTCACCCATCCTATCCAAAAACAATAAAAACTGGTCTTACAAGCTATCACAAGTACTATCTAACTTGAAGTAACACTATGAGGAAATTTAACTTCATGTTGAACATTGTTTCTTTGCAGGCAATGCTCTTTGTTAACTTCAGTAGTGAGATCCATGCTTTCAAACCCAAATACAATGATGTGGCGGTCCTTTATAAGAGAAAGGGAATCAGCTTTCTGTTGGGAGATCTTGCTTCCAGTAGTCGTGCACTTGAGGTTCTTTTCCCTTTATTTTGTTTCTTAGGGTCTTTTTGGATATAGGATAGTGGAGGGGTTCGAAAGAGCTTATTCTTGATAAATAGAGTGTGTGTGGTGGACAAAGATGATTGTAATGTTATGAGACCACATTTATGTTAATTAATGTTTAAGCTCTTATAAAATAGGGAGCATTAAATATACATCAAAATGTAGACTTGGTCATCCAAAACCCTACTTAAAAACAGGTCATTATGATTTGTAAAGGACATGTTACTGTTGTCGAACCCTAAATGTTGTATTTATTTGGAATGCAGTACTTTGGAGTCAAAGCAGATCAAGCACCTGTTCTCATAGTACAGGACAAGGATCAGCAAAAATTTATCAAACCAAATGTCGAACCAGATCAAATTGCAACTTGGCTCAAGGACTACAAGGTAATCGCCTTTGGTTTTGTTTTACTACATATTTGTTTTCTGGAAGTTATATATTGTTCTCTGACCTTGATGTTTTGTTACAACTACAATCTTCTTATGTTATTTCTCTTCAATATGCATGGCATGGATGTAGGAGGGGAAGGTGGATCCATTTATCAGATCTGAGGCTATCCCTGAAGTCAATGATGAACCAGTGAAAGTGGTTGTAACCAATGCCCTGGAGAGCATGGTTTTCAATTCAGGGAAGAATGGTATGTATCTCAATGCTGCATTCTTGCAAGTATGTTGATTTCATGATTAGTTAAGTTGTAAATGAAGAATAAAAAAACTTTTCTATTGAAATGGATGAAGGTAGACCTCCACCCGACCCAAACCGCTCATGGCCACCCTAACACAGGAGATGTAGACATCTACAATGGCTTGCTGTTTTTTTCAGCCCATTAGCCGACTTAATTTCCTTCTGTCCTGCTTTACAGTTCTGCTGGAATTCTATGCACCATGGTGTGGTCACTGCAAGAAGCTAGCTCCAATCTTGGATGAAGTTGCTGTGTCATTTGAGAGTCAACCTGATGTCATGATAGCAAAACTGGTGAGGAGCTAAATTTACTTCATCATACATAATAATAAAAGAAACTCGAGGAATTTTCCTTTAATTATAATTTATTGATAGAAGCTCACAACTCACTTCTCCTGTTTTTTTTGCTAGGATGCAACTGCCAATGATGTCCCGGCCAAAAAGTTTGAGGTTCAAGGATTCCCAACATTGTACTTCATATCTGCAACTGGTAACATAATACCATATGACGGTGACAGAACAAAAGACGACATAATCGACTTTATCAATAAGAATCGTTATAATAAGACTGCCGTGTCAGAAGAGTCCATCAACTCTGATGCAGTGAAGAAAGAAGAATCCACCAAGGATGAGCTGTAAGATGGTGAGATTCTATGTCGACTTTAAAGTAATGCTCATCCATCAGTACCCTTTTAGTCTGAAATATCCTACTTTAAGAGTTTAGGGTCAAGAGTTTTCTGCTTTCACAAGTGCAGGGAAGCTGATGAGTAGCAGTGGCAGGTTCAAGTTTTGTCAACGGAGGAATCTTGCGCTTTCCTTTTTCTTATTACTATTGGCTTTTCTTTTCTTATTCCAATGAATAAAATGTTTTCTGTTGTATGGATGTGAGAGGTGTTATAGTTAGTTTGTAGCTGTTGGTACGTTCTTTAACCAGAATTTATGTGAGAATTTTTGAACAAGAATGAATCGATTTGCGGATCTCATGAGCTTAGAGGCATCAGGCATATACTGAAATCTCTGTTGTCACTTTAACTACAGTAGTCACCGTTATTTAAATACCATAGTACAACTAGCCAGATCAGAGGACACAGATGCACTACTATTCATTGATTAATTATAATCTATGTGCAAGGTTTTTCAACCTGTTTACTCCGTTACTAATCTCACCTATTAGCGTTAGCGTTATTTAAATAAACAAATGCACAACTAAATACACAAATGCTCAATTCACATCAATAATCTCACTATTAGCGTCCTCGTATTAATCTCGTGCATATTTTAATTCCGAAATTTTAGCATATGATCTATTTGAGCATCACCATTGCCACACATTTTTTGCTTTTAAAGTTTAAAGTTTTTGCTTTTCCGCGCATGCCCGAAAACCTTTCGTCTGAATTAATATATGCTATCTCCAAACCGTGGCTTGGATTTATGAATTCGAAAGTAGAAGAAGACAGGAAAGTAGAAGAAGACAGGGAAAAACATGAAGAAAGAAGAGAAGCTTCCATTACAAATTCTGATGAAATTCGAAAGAAGAAAGAGGAAGAATGGATCAAGGGAGAGTAGGAGAATAATCATTGATATTTTATAGGGAGTAGTTTTGTTGTCCATTCTTCTTCATTATTCTTTCTTCCCAAATGGATTTTCTTGACCCGTCAGACATCCCGTTTCTGCAAATGAAGAACCTCTCTTGATTGAGTGCCCAACTTTACTAGCTAGTAATTGAGATTTCAAAAATGGAGCACCCTATCAATCACTTGAAACCAGATTTTTTCGCAGTAGCAACGGGAAAAGGGATGAACGGTTGGACGCTATCAGAAAGAGAAAAGAAGAAAGAGAATATAACTTATGCAGCACAGAGCCACATAAAAGATAGGGAAGAGAAAAGAAAACGAAAAAAAGAAAAGCAAAGGTAAAATAAAAAAGAGAAAAGATAAAAAACAATAAGATCAGAAACTATTTAGATTATATTGGAATTACTCACATTTGAGATTAATATGGAAAAGATGTTGATAGATTAGATTATGGATTTTTTACAAGAATATTATGAAGATATACCCGTACTATGTATAAGTGATTGGTTCATGTGAGAAAGAAGTCTCACATGAACATATTATAAAGATTATAAGTTTTTTACAAGAATATTATGAGTTTCTTAGATTATTCTTATAAAATTTTCCTAATAACTATGAAGATATACCCGTACTATGTATAAGTGATTGGTTCATGTGAGAAAGAAGTCTCAGGAAAGAAATGAGAATAAAATTCACCTTTTAATCATCAAAATTCAAAATCTTAACACCAATACTCTTCACAATTGAGTGTCACGGTGCATGAAGTTCGGGGTTGAGATTTGTTAAATAAGGTAACTCCCAACACCATAATTATTGAGGGGCGCAATAGTAAAACACCAATACCCATTAATATTAAGAAATAAGAAAAATTAACAAGAATAATCTTACCTTTTATTGGTCTATCACAAGAATCACACCTTTACATAATTCCACCTTTGCACCCCATCTCCTTTCATTGAACCCTGATCAGGGGAACATGAAACATATCACATGCGAAAATGAAAAGCAAATATGACACTACATACATAGTAGACGGAAGAAAGAAAACGGCTTAGGCACTTGGACAGAGTTGCCTGAGAAGAGGATCAGAGAAAGAAAAGGAGAAAAGAAAAAGAAAAGGAAAGATAAAGGAAAAGAAATAAAAGGAGAATACAAAAGATTATGGAGTCCAATTAAAATCCGCCATGTGGTTGGGTGACCGGCCAAAAATATTAATTCAGGTCAGTAGCTCGTTTTTAGAAGATGCCATACATTATTTGGATTATTTTGGAATAATCCATATTTCGGATTAATAGAAGAAGATCGTCAATAGTTCGGATTATTCATATGAATTTTTTCTTTAACAAATATTAATGTGAGGGGCAAAGAATGAGAATGATCCAAACTCAGGACGTAATTAATTGGTTTTTGGAAATGCAAGGTTGCCTTCATAATTATGACATAACTTCAGGGGGCTAATCGTAATTATCCCTTTAAATTTTAATCAAGGCACACAGATAATGCTTAATATATTTATTTAAAATGATTAGTTATTTGTTAAAAATGCATAACAAATAAAAAATATGGATTTTCAAATTGAATCTCTCTTGCACTTTTTTGACATTAAACTGCACATTTGAAAACAACAAAACTTTGTGTACTAAATTTATTTATTTATCTTCAAAGTGCATTGAGATATTAAATATGCATTATTGATAAATTTATTATGCACCATAACATGTTTGAAGTGAACTCTAGAGGGCTAATTAAGTGTATTTTTTTAAACTGCATGTTATTCACATGAATTCCTTCATCCAATTCAAGGATTATTTTAAAGTAACCTCTTTAATTTTAGAATATTAAAATTGCACATTTTCTTTCATTCAACTATGATTTCTAATAAATGATACTTTGTGCACTAAACTAATTAACGTCAAATTGCACAAAATTTAATGTCAAATTGCTTTGAGATGTTCAAAGTTTTAGGGGGTGTTTGGTTAGGAGCATATCAGCCATGTTTTGGCTGATTTGACCATTAAATGGCCTTTTGACCAAATGAATCGGCTACCTATGGTGTTTGGTAAATGAGGATTTCGTTCGGCGTTTTGTCTCCAACGGCCGAAATAAAAAACGCCACAATTGTTAGCGTTTTAGGATTGGCTGTTTCCTATTTATTCAAATTCTCCAAAATTACCCATGCCTCTTAAATGCAGTCATGCAGATACCTTTACCAGGCACCGCCCTATAAACTCCCGTACCTTCATCACACTTATCTACAATATTTTTTTCTGCACTGTTGTTTTTTACGCACATGGTGCGATTGGTGCCCAGCCCCAATGGCCTTTATGCAATAGCATGAGTAATTTATAGAAAATCACAATCCCAATTATCGAGTTTGATTTTTTTGAATTGCTGGAAAATTTTTTAAGATAGTTAATACAGAGTAAGACAAATGTGAATAGAATTGAATAAATGATTTAAGCAATTCTATGATTCCCTTGATTAGAAAAAATAATTATAATTTCATGTGATATGTGTAAACGTAGTAAGTATTCAAAAAATAAATTGATGTCTATAAAGGTCATTTAATTTGTTTTCAGCTAATTGTAAACAACTATTTAACCAAACACCGATTTATGAACCGTTGATATTACCTGCTAATCAAAACAGCCAACATAATCCGCTGTTATCTATCAGCCAACATTATCAGCCAACAGCCAACAACCAACGGCCATTTGCCAAACACCACCTTAATCTTTGTACATTAGATTGGAAGCCGAAGTGTATTCAAATATTAATATATTGAAAATGCACAAAACTTTGTGCAGTATGTAATACCAAGTATATTGGCGTGCATTAAAACTGTGCATTGAACTAAACGTTAAAGTGGATTGAGATTTAAGCATGCATTAGTGATGAATTTATTATGCACGAAAACACATTTGAAGTACATTATATAAACCTAATTATGTTTCTTTTATCCATATTTATTTAAATGTCCTCATAAAATCGCACACCATCATACAAGTTTCCTTGAATTTGATCTAAGCAAGTTAAAGATTTATTAATATGAACATATATCCAAAATATTGTTGTATAACAAAATGTGCATGATATAAAATAGTTTGTGCATTGTAATAAGCCGTCATGAATGAATAAATATTAAAAAATATACAAAACGAAGTGTACCAGAATCAATTAAAAATCATAAAACGAATTTCATGATAAAGTGTATAAATTAAATCCAAAATGAAATCTGATTCCTGAGTGTATAAATGAAATAAAAATGAATTCCAAATAAATTATTAGAGATGCATTCAAATTGGATCCCAATCTGAAGGCCCTGAGTGTAGCAAAGTGCATGTTAATGTTAAACCAAGTCCAGGAGCCCAATCTCTTAAAAAAAAAAGTGCAGGAGCCCAACCCTAGTAAATGCTGTCAAATTGGATCGGCCCATCATAGTATCGAACTAGGTTTTTGAAAGGCCCTAATTTAAAACCCTTGTTACGATAGCTACTTCGCGGCAGAGAAAGGAGAAACCAGAAAGGACGCAGAGACTTACTGCTTCAGCGATCGTGAAATGGCGATTTACAAAGTATGAATTTGATGTTACTTCCGCCTTTCTTCTTCTTCTTTTTGAATCCGTATTCATGCGCGTGCACAGGCTTACCTTATCAAGGAATCTAGTAATTTTTATGTTTTGTTTGTTTGCAGTTCCATCAATACCAGGTGGTCGGAAGAGGTCTCCCGTCGGAGACTGTTGAGCAGCCAAAGATCTACCGCATGAAGCTATGGGCCACTAATGAGGTCCGTGCGAAGTCCAAGTTCTGGTAATGCCATCCCTTTTCCTCGCATGGATATTTTATTGTTTGTTCTTTTAACTGGATTTGTCCAGGCGTCTTGTAATATCTTTTTCGTTCCAAAGGTATTTTTTGAGGAAGCTGAAGAAGGTGAAGAAATCCAATGGCCAGGTCCTTGCAATCAATGAGGTATTGACACCACTTTCATATTGGACATTTACCTACTGGTCGTATATCAAACGATTGATTGTGTTGCTGTTTTAATATCTTGCGCCTAGCATTGAGCAATAGCTTCTTGTGGACCATCTCTGTTCATATAAATTTCTTTTAATTTGTCCTCATGGTTTTTAAACATTGTACTTCTAGTTATATCTGTACTCGGCTACTCTGTCGTGTGCATTGTTATTAGTAGTATTAGGATGTGTGCACTTTTCTAGAAAACCTAGGCTGATAGGCAATTATATTGCTGTTCCTCCGAGCACATATTTACCTTGTCGTTCAGCAGCTTTTGGATCTTACTCCATTTTTGTGTTAGGCCATTCTCTCTACCTTCTGCAGTAGCAGGCATGTATCGAAGGGGAAGAGGAGTCAGCGTAAAGTTACGTAGCCTAGGTTATTAAATCAATATTATTTACCCTATGAAATTCCTAGTAAACCAAAAAAACTAAGAAAATTGAATTGTTTTTTTTTGTTTTCACCACATACAATGCCGATGAAAATGGACTGAGGTTGCTCTTTAATTCATATTTGCGCATACATGCAATAGTTCATAAGTGACTGAATAATTATAGAAAGCAGTGATCAGTATGTTATTGACATAAAAGTCACAAACAAAAATGTAACACCT